TCGGCGTCCTCCCGCCTTGGCCTCCCCGGCGCCCGGGCCAGAGGGCTGGCTCGGCGGGGGGACACGGGGACCGACTAGCGCGGCTCCCCGCACCTCGCAGCTCCGCCGCGGAGAACTCTCTTCCTTCGCTCCTTCCCCCCACCTCATGTAGGAGGGCGCTGAGGCGGCGGGAGGGAGGAGGAGCCTGGGCCGCCGTCCCTTCCCTCCCCACCCCCTCCAGGGGCGCTTTGGTGGGCGTGGGGCTGGGACTGGGGCTGGGGCTGGGGCTGGGGCTGGGGGGGAGGGTGGGGGTTGCTTGCCGGAGCGCCGGGGAACTTTCTCCCCTCCTTCGGGCCAGGGGGAAGGGAATGCCCAATTCCGAGAGACATGGGGGCAAGAAGGACGCGAGCGGAGGAGCTTCTGGAACTTCGCAGCCGGCGTCGGGAGGCGGCAGCTCCAACAGCAGAGAGCGTCACCGCCCGGTGTCGAAGCACAAGCGGCACAAGTCCAAGCACTCCAAAGACATGGGGCTGGTGACCCCCGAAGCGGCATCCTTGGGCACGGTTATCAAGCCGCTGGTGGAGTATGATGACATCAGCTCCGACTCGGACACCTTCTCTGATGACATGGCCTTCAAACTAGACCGGAGGGAGAACGACGAACGTCGTGGAGCCGATCGGAGCGACCGCCTGCACAGACATCGCCACCACCAGCACCGGCGTTCCCGGGACTTACTGAAAACCAAACAGGCCGAGAAAGACAAAAACCAGGAAGTGTCCGGCAAGTCGGGGTCGGCGAAGGAGCGGGGATCGGGAAGTTCGAAGCGGTCCAACGAGGAGAGCGAGGACGCAAAGGCGCAGGTGGTCAAAGGCGGCGGCGGCAAGGAGTCCAGGGCCTCCAAACTCCACAAGGAGAAGGCCAGGAAGGAGCGCGAGCTCAAGTCTGGGCACAAGGACCGCAGCAAAAGTCATCGGAAAAGAGAAACACCCAAAAGTTACAAAACCGTGGACAGCCCCAAACGGAGGTCCAGGAGTCCCCACAGGAAGTGGTCTGACAGCTCCAAACAGGACGACAGCCCCTCAGGAGCCTCTTACGGCCAAGATTATGACCTTAGTCCCCCACGCTCCCACACCTCCAGCAATTACGACTCCTACAAGAAGAGTCCTGGAAGCACCTCGAGAAGGCAGTCCATCAGCCCACCTTACAAGGAGCCTTCGGCCTACCAGTCCAGCACCCGGTCACCCAGCCCCTACAGTAGACGACAGAGGTCCGTGAGCCCCTATGGCCGGAGACGGTCGTCCAGCTATGAGAGGAGTGGCTCGTACAGTGGGAGATCGCCCAGTCCCTATGGGCGAAGACGGTCCAGCAGCCCTTTCATGAGCAAGCGGTCTCTGAGTCGGAGTCCACTCCCCAGGTGAGCTGTTCGCCTCACAGCCCTTCCTAATACAGGGTGGGGGTGAGGTACTGGCAGTTAGTCTCTTTAACGTTTTTTAAAAGCCCCCTGTGTTCATCGTTGACGGGGATACTTTGCTTTTGACTAGTCATTCAAGTAGGTGACTCTGGTCTCCCCTTATCCCAGAATTCGAAAAGTGAAGAGTTCATAGGCCTCAAACTGCTCAAGGTAGGTACTTCCAGTGGCAGGATTTCCAGTTGGAAGGTTCTGTGTGGGAAAAGACATCAGCTTCTGCTTAGTGAGTGCATAGGGCTGATACTAGTTCCCAGAGTTTGTCTAGCTATTTCTCTTGCTTTGTCTTGCAGTTAAAAAAAAAATCACTTTGGTATTCCTGCTTTAGATTTTAGTGAACCTGCTTGAAGACTTAAGAAATTACAAAATTTAATTAGTATTGAAGTGATTTGCCTAGGTCTTCCTACCACTTGTGTTGTCCACTGAGTTTCCAAACCTATAAGCTTATTCATTTCCTAGTTGGCGATGTTTAAAAAGCTACAAAAGATTCCTGTCTTTTAACTGATGTTTTAGTGGGAATTGATTAGACTGTTATCCTTTTGATGGAATAGCCTAGCAGAAATTGGTTCCGAGGAGAGTTTGGATTTCTTTACAGCATCACCCTTGTGATCATTGGCAGTTTTCACAGTCTTTCTCTCAAAATACGATAGTAATGCCTTCATCATGATGTTTTTTGTGAGAAAAGCATGCTAATTTGAATTTGAAATTTCATTGTAAGAGTGAATTATCTGTGAAAAACTGTGTTCTCGTTCCTACATCATGAGATGTACCTCCTTTGTGGACTCACCTCTGTTCACAAAAGCAGAATATGGGCTTTAGTTAGACGGAGTGGAACCCTAACGTTGCTTTGTGACCTTTAGTAAATTATGTTATTTCTCCATGCCTGAATTACTCCAGGTGTAAAATGGGAATAATAAATACCTACGTCTAGGGTTGTTGAAGGGATTAAATTAGTAAGTGTGAGGTGCATGCCACCTTGCCTTGTACATAATATACCACTCAGTAAATTATGAGTGAGGACAATGTTGCTGAACACTAGTAAAGAAACTAAGCTAATTTGAAAAAAATCCATGCTTGTCTTTTATTTAACTTTATTTAATTTTTACTGAATTATAATTATTCCTAAACTCAAGCTACTGAGTTTCTAGTTGCCAAGGGCTGAAGTTCCTTAGTATCCTCCCTCTCCCGTTTTAGTGTTAAAAATTTTTGAGCACAGAAGTTGAAAGAATTGTGAACATCCAGATATCTGTCTGCCATCTAGTTTATACAGTTAATGTTTACGATATACTTTATCATGTATCTGTTCATCTCTCCATTAACCCATCTTTTGTTTTCATTCATCTCAGAGTTGCAGACTAAACACTTTAGCATGTATGCCACTAGCTAGAGGTCAATATTTTTGGAGGGGTGAGTGATAAAATTTATATAGTCATGTGTCACATACACAAGTCTTAAGTGTACTATTTGTAAAGTTGTTTCGTTTTTAAAGAAAACCTAAGAAGTATTCTCACAATACTTGTTTATTGAGAGAGTAGTTCCATTAAGGCTGCTCTAAGAGTTTTTACTGTTGTGGGGTTTGGGAATACAGAAGTGTGTTGAGGTTAAAACAAGTTTCAGTAAGAACTTCTTCCCACGCCTTTGGGAGGCTGAGGTGAGTGGATTGCCTGAGCCCGCGGGTTCAAGACCCGCCTGGGCAGCGAGACCTCATCTCTACAATAAATCAAAAAATCAGCTGGGCCTGGTAGCACATGCCTGTAATTCCGGCTACTGGGAAGGCTGAGGCGGAAGGATCGCTGGAGCCCAGCAGGTCGAGGCTGCGGTGGCCGGGAGCGGCCACTGCACTCCAATCTGGGTGACAGAGTGAGACTCCAACTCAAAAAAAAAAAAAAAAAAATGCTTTGGCGGAAATACAGTGGTTTTGCATCCTCCAAATTAGCAGTGATTAATAGTAACAATTTCATTTCAGATGGGTAGAATCTAATTTAATTCAGGGGGAAAATACATTTGTTTTTGGAGAAATTTCTTTTTTTTTTTTGAATTGGAGTCTGACTCTGTCGCCCAGGGTAGAGTGCAGTGGCATACTCACGGCTACCACAGCCTCAACCTGCTGAGCTCAGGTGATCCTTCCACCTCAACCTTCCAAGTAGCTTGAACTACAAGCACACACCACCACGCCTGGCTAATTTTTTTGATTTATTGTAGATATAAGGTCTTGCCAAGTTGCCCAGGGCAGTCTTGAACTCAGGCAGTCCTCTTACCTCCGCCTCCCAAAGTGCTGGGATTATAGGTGTGAGCCACTGCACCTGACCTGACTTTTTTGTTTTTTTGAGTCAGGGTCTCACTCTGTTAACCAGGCTGGAAGGCATGCTCACGACCACCACAGCCTTGACCTGCTGAGCTCAGGTGATCCTTCACAGCAGCCTTCCAAGTAGCTAGAACTACAGGCTTGTGCCACCATGCCCAGCTAAATTTTATGATTTATTGTAGCGAAAAGGTCTCACCATATTGCCCAGGCTAGTCTCAAATCCACGGACTAAGCAATCCTCTTGCCTTCACCTCCCCAAGTGCTGGGATTGCAGGTGTGAGCCACCATGCCTGGGTTTTTTGTTTGTTTGTTTGTTTTTTAATAAAATTATGATCTAAGAAGTCACATTTCTTACCTAGGGACTGTGAATACCTATTTATTGTCCACTCTCTCGATTTATTCTGGAAGAATAGACCTGAAAAAATACAGCCTAATATAAAATTACCACAAGTATATGGCCATCCAAATCTCTTATTAATATTAGGCTCTGGTCAGAAATTGAAGGGTTGTGAGGGGAAGATATTGAAGAATTTCTAACAGAGTTCTTAGGAAGATTTATTTGCTCATGCTAACTAAAGAAAAATACTTTGTAGTGCCTGGTGACTAGCTAGAATTACTTAGTGTTTAGCGTTTTAGATATTTTGTCTGAGATAGAGAGATTATTTATCTCAGCCATAATTCAAGCAGAGAAAACCTCTTGTTTCAGCCAAATATTTACAAGAGTATTAGCTTCCTTAAAAGTAAGTGGATATTTGGTAAATCTGTTCAAGTACTTAGTATTCTGTTTCCTCACTTGCATACATATGATGATGTTATTGTTTTTAGTTTTATTGATTCTAATTGATACACACACACACACACACACACATACATATTTGTTTTGTTTTTTGCTGTGTTGCCCAGGCTGGTCTCAAACTCCTGACCTCAGGCAACCCTCTTGTCTCAGCGTCCCAAAGTGCTGAGATACAGGAGTGAACCACCATGCCCAGCTGTGATTCTTGGAATAATTTTATATTTTAACTGACTTTTGGAGCAAACTTGCAAAAAGCAGTATAGTTAAACCATGACTGCTGTCATATGTATTGGAATTATTTTCTTTACATATAGTTGCTGTTTGTTTTGAAACATTTTGTTTTATGTTAAGTCTTACCACTGATTAAAGATAGAGATATTTGTGGGAACTATTTATTTTAGACTACTGGAAAAAATTCTATTTTCTCCAGTCACATTTTTAGTGGAATTTTTTTTGGGGGGGTGGGGGGTCACACATTGAAGTCTCAGCAGTTTAAACTTTAGTAACAAAAGCAAAAGGAATTAATGAGAGTTGGGTCTCAATTTAGGATAATCTACCCCATAGAGTCCCAGATTTTATTTCCTAATTCTTCCTTATGAAGAAAATTAATTAAACATACAATAATGCTTTGCTTTACAAGTTCTTAAAATGTTAATTGGAAATATTATTATTATTATTATTATTTTTTGAGTTGGAGTCTCACTCTGTCGCCCAGACCGGAGTGCTGTGGCCGCTCCCGGCCACCACAGCATTGACCTGCTGGGCTCCGGCGATCCTTCTGCCTCAGCCTTCCGAGTAGCGGGAATTACAGGCATGTGCTACCATGCCCGGCTGATTTTTTTATTTTTTGTAGAGATGAGGTCTCGCCAAGTTGCCCAGGCAGGTCTCGAACCCGCGGGCTCAGGCAATCCACTCACTTCAGCCTCCCAAAGGCGCGGGATTACGGGCTGAGCCACCAAGCCCGGCTGGAAA